GCACAGCATTGGCAATGATTAGAACTATGGCATCTGGTGGTCCATGACAGCAGGCGTGGCTTTACTGACAGTGATTTTTCAAAAGACCAGTTCCATAGGGTGGTTTGCACATCAATCTTTGAATCTGAGCCTCAGATCTCATTTAGTTTTCATTAATTGTGTGAAATTTCTGATATTTCATTGAAAAATTTTTTCAGTCGTCATGTTTAATCAGCCTCTGTTGTATGCAAGTAAACAGGATTAGCTTCTGGTGTATGCAAGTAAGAACCCTGCTAGAATTACACCACAACAAGTTTCTTTGTGTATATTTTATGTATGTGTCATTTTGCCCTTGAAGCATCAGGTTTAATATGTTGGTTTTGAACCAATTTTAGTTTGAGAGACAGGCTCTATCACCCAAATTGTTTCCAGATTTAGCTGCCTAGTATCTTTTTATTTTTATTTTAAGTGGTGGATTTATTTGAGAAAACATTTATTAAGAGGATATAAATAAATGGGAAGATATATCATGCTCATGGATAGAAAGGATTAATATTGTCAAAATGACCATACTACCCAAAGCAATTTACAGATTCAACACAATTCCTATCAAAATGCTAATGCTATTTTTTTTCAGAACTAGAGCAAATAATCCTAAAATATTTGTGGAACCATAAAAGGCCCCAAATAGCCAAAGCAATCCTGAGAAAGAAGAGCAAGAAGATCATACTCCTTTATCTCAAACTATAGTACAAAGCTATAAGAATCAATAAAAAGAGTACGGTACTGGCACAAAAAACAGACACATTAATGAATAGAGAGCTCAGAAATAAACCCTTACATATATGGTCAACTAATCTATGACAGAGGAGGAAAAAATATACTCTGGAATAACAGCAGTCTCTTCAACAAGTGATGTTGGAAAAACAGGACAAATGCATGCAAAAAATGAAACTAGACCACTCTTTTACACCATATTAAAAAACCCCTCAAAATGGGTTACAGACTTAAATGTAAGGCTTGAAACCATACAACTTTTAGAAGAAAACATAAATAGTAAACTATTTGACATCAGTCTAATATCTTTTTGGATATATTCTCTTGAGCAAGGGAAAAGAAAGTAAAAATAAACAAATGGGAATACATCAAACTAAACTACTTCTGCTCAGCAAAGGAAACCAACAAAACAAAAAGCCTACTGACTGAGAGAATATATTTGCAAATGATGTATTTGATAAGGGGTTGATATCCAAAAAATATAAGAAATTTATATAACTCAATAGGAAAGGCAACAATTTGATTTTAAAATGGGCAGAGGACATGAAAAAGACAGTTCTCCAAAGAGGACATAAGGCCAACATACATAAAAAGACACTCAATATCACTGATCATCAGAGAAATGCAAATCAAAACCACAATGAGATACCACTTCTGGGCAGTCAGAATGGCTATTATCAAAAAATCAGCAGATTTAGCTGCTGAAGTTGCTTTTATTTTTTAATTTGTTGCCTTCTAAATATTCATAGTTTTGATCTTCTTTTTTTATTTTATTGTTGCTCAATTACAATTGTCTGCATTTTCCCACCACCACTCTCCCCCTTCCCAGCCAAACCCACCTCCCTCCCTTGCTTCCACCCTCCCCCTTGGTTTTGTCCATATATCCTTTATTGTTCTTAATTTCAATGTCTCTGGTTATATTTTGTTTGCTTTTTTCTTTTGTTGATTATGTTCCACTTACAGGTGAGATCATATGGTATTTGTCTTTCACTGCCTGGCTTATTTCACTTAGCATAATGCTCTCTAGTTCCATCCATATTGTCACAAAAGGTAGGAGCTCCTTCTATCTTTCTGCTGCATAGAATTCCATTGTGTAAATGTACCATAGTTTTTTTATCCACTCATTTACTGATGGGCACTTAGGTTGCTTCCAGCACTTGGCTATTGTGAATTGTGCTGTTATGAACATTGGGGTGCATACTGGCATCAGATGGACTCATTATGCTGACTCGGCTTCATTTCCTGAAGCAAGATCCTCCCACTTTGAAGGAAGAATTAGAAATTAACAATAAGCCTTATTTCTACTGTGTAAATGTACCACAACATTTTAATCCATTCATTTACTGATTGGCACTTGGGCTGTTTTCACATCTTGGGTATTGTAAATAATGAACATAGGGGTGCATAGATTCTTTCTGATTGGTGTTTTGGGATAAAGAACATCTGAAAATATATGCATGAATCCACAGACACAGAAAACAATGTGGTGAAGGATGGGGAGCGGAGGTCTGGGTAGAGGGTGGGAGAGAGGGACATCTGCAATAGTGTCAACAGTAAAAAGAGTAAGTCTTTTTAACATTGTCAAGTTGAGATTTTTGAGTTAACATTTTTTTATTTTGATAAGAAAAAAATAAGATTGCCACAATAAGTTTGTAATACACAACAAGAAGCAAAACACAATTACCCACAATTTTACTAAAAATTGCAACTACAATTTTAATATATTTCTTCCTGTATTTTTTTTATTTTTTATTCATTTTATTTTGTTGTTGTTCAAGTACAGTTGTCTGCCTTTTTCCCCCACCACTTCCTGTAGGTTCTTAATTACAAAATAAGTTTGGAAACAATTGTTTAGGTTTTTATTTTGGAAAAATAAAAATTAAAAACATTATATTGTTAGCATTTTTTCAACTCACCAAAAATGTTTCGAAACATGATTTTTAATATCTGTATGATATTTTATCATTTGGATGTACGATAATTCCCTTAATTACTCTCCAATTACTGAACATTTGGATAGGTGTAATTTTGATATTATTATTTTATTTTTCATTAAATTTATAAATTTATTTGAGATAAAATGACAAATTTACAACCTTTACCCATTACATTCAGAAACAGGGTGGATATCTCCATTTATTCATATCTTTCTACTGTTTCAAGGTACTTGCAATTTTCTTCTCATACACTTCACTCCTCTTTAGTGAATTTTTTAAGGGGTGTATTACATTTCATTGTTATTATAAATGGCCTTTTCCTTCCATTATATTTTCTTCCTGATTATTATCTTTTGTATATTTACTTGGCATTTGGCCACCATTTTAAAATTTCTTATTGATTTTAATCACTGTTTGAAATTATTTTTTATGAGAATTCACACCGAATATTTACTCATCTTTGGGTTTAAAAAAGAGGCAGAAAAATAAGCACTGGGGTGATGGCAAATTTCTGTTTCAATTCAAGAGATGAGTGATGAGAATTGGTGTGCTATGTTTGATCTCCCCCTTCTTCTCCTTCTTTCTTTAGGAGTGTTGGAAGACTAAATATTTGCCTTTCCCTTTCAGTCAGTACCTCTAAGAAAGAATGTGGGGAAGGCTACACATGGCTCACTTCTTCCTTTCCCTATCTACCAAGGGATATTACATAAGGCTTTACAAGTTGTTCCTGGCATGAAGGAACCTGTCCAGTAGAAGGAGTGGTGACTGTCATCTAACCTGTGCCCTGGGAACAGAAATGTGCACCCTGATGTGTTTGGGTCCTTCCTGATGAAGGGCTGCATAAAGGCACGTCTGAATAAGACCTGCAGCTGAGGGGCTGCTTTGTGACTTTTGTGATTTATGTAAAGGGCTCGTAGACTAGCTTTGGCCCTGCACCCAAGCTTTAACGTAAGTCATGCTAGCACCCCAACACAGAGCCTGACTTTCACCTCCTTTGCATAGCTGAAATGATGATAGACTGGTGAATTTGGTCTTTTGTGCTCTTAAGGAACTAGGTAGAATTTCACCAGTAAATTAATCTGTGCTGTCTGAGTGTAGGACTTATTTATCAAGATGAAATATGATGACTACAGGCCACTTTGAGAATTAATTGGAGAGTAATATACCTCTTCTCAGACTTTGACCATACTCTCTTATTTCTATCCTCAAACTCACAAACACTATCTTCTCTGTATGGTTAGTGTTCATTCTAATACATATAGCGAGAAAAGCACTTTAAAAATGAAAAAGTGCTTAATATATAAATATTGTTTCATTAAGTTTTTTCAGGTAATCTTGTTTCCAGGTCTCACCTCTATTCTTTTCCAGTAAATTTATTCTTTTGTATTAAGTGGTAGTATTAAGATAAAGAAGGAATACATCAAGTTATAAGAACCTAAAATACAACCAGTTGGAGAAAACTATTCTCAGAAGATCCTGTACAAAAGTTAGGTTTGCTGAGAACTTTTTTTGGACAAGTCTATTTGAGGAAGAATCACAAACCCCAAAGGGTCTGCGTATAAATAAAATTATTCTGAATAAGAAAGGGCAAGATATTTTGGCTATTCTTGAGGGGGTAAGAAGATGAGGAAGGTAGAAAAGGCAGCACCAGGTATGTTGAAAGAGATCAGCTGGGTGTTCAGCATGGTGGCTCTTCCTCTGACTTCCCCTACCCCCAACCTGTTTTAAAGTTAAACCCACACAAAGCTGGAATGAGGTCGGTTTTATATAAAATGTTGAAGGGGATGAGTCTCACATCCAGACTGATGTGATCCAAACAAGGGAGCAGGGAGATTCAGGAGCAGGAGAACAACACATGCACATGTTTGAAAGGTGTGTGTGTGTGCATGCCTCTGTGTGTGTGTGTGTGTGTGTGTGTGTGTGTGTGTGTGTGTGTGTGTGTCTGGGAAGGTAGTGATGGGAAGTCTAGACATTTAATCCCTATGGAACGAGGGCTGGAGACACCTTCACCTAAACCTTCAAAGGATAGAAACTCACCAGTTGACCTCTGGATTGTGTGTGTTTTTTTTCTTCAAAAATGCCTGAGAATGTATGGCATTTTCCTGTTTCCATGCCATACACACATGAATGTTAATACAATAAAGCCTAGTACAAGTAAATAATTTGCACAAGTTCTGCTAAGATATTTTTGTTATTTGCTTCATTGAAATGCATCCCTAAATATATTCCAGGAAATAAAGGCAATATTTGCCTCTCAGATTTACTCAAGACCAGAAACCTCCTGTGTGTCCTATACACATAGGGATTCTAGTTCTTGAGAGGCTGACTTTGACCAAATCTCACACTTGTCAGCAGTTTTCTCAGGGCCTTATTCATCTCCTTATTCCGGAGGCTATAGATCAAGGGATTAAAAAGTGGAGTTAACACAGAATAAAATAAAGTCACAATTTTATGAATCCCTGCTAGATTGTCTGCTGTTGGGCTCACATACATCACCATGATAGAACCATAGAACAGGGACACTACGGCCATGTGGGAGCCACAGGTAGAGAAGGCCTTATGCCGGCCTTCTGCTGTGGGGACCTTCAGCACAGCTCTGATCACCAGGGTGTAGGAGCCGGTAATGAAGAAAAAGGTGGCGAAAATGAGGACCGAGTTTAAGATGCCACAGGTGATCTCAATGGCAGGAGCTGGCACACAGGACAACTTTATAAGGGGTCCTGGGTCACATAAAAAATGATCAATAGTATTGGGGCCACAAAAAGGAAGCTGGGAGATGAGATAAACTGGGAGGAGAAAGCAGGAGAAGCCACACACCCAGCAGCAGGCTCCAGTTCGGATGCAGCGTTCTACTGTCATGACAGTGGGGTAGTGCAGGGGCCTGCAGATAGCAAGGTACCTGTCAAAGGCCATGGCAGACAGGAGGAAGGTCTCAGTGGTGCCCATGGAGAAGAAGAAATAGAACTGGAGGAAGCAGCCAGAGAAGGAGATGGTGCTGGTCTCCGAGAGAAAGTTGGCTAGCATGTTGGGGACAGTAGAAGTGACATACCAGATCTCCAGGAAGGAAAAATTGGCCAGCAGGACATACATGGGTGTGTGCAGACAGCGGTCCCACCACACTGAACAGATAATGCAGAGGTTTCCAACGAGCGTCAGGACATAGGTCACAGAGAAGAGTGAGAAGAGGAACATCTGAGTCTCCCAGGTACAAGGAAATCCAAGAAGAATGAATACACTCACAGGGTCAGAGTGATTACTCCTTCCTGGGTTTTTCATTTTTTTTCTCCTAAAACTGCAAAAAGAAGACATTACCATGTTGCAAATGACTCTACAAAAGTGTTCTCATTAAGATATTCCCTGAATTTCTTTACAATTCAATTAGTACCATAGTTTTAGATGACTTAAAGATTTTCAGCATTCTTTGCCCCAAATGTGATAGTGTGAGAAAGTGAAAAACTTGGGGTGTGGGTGCTTATTACACCCTTACATTGTGGTCACCATGCCCATTATGGACCATTAAACACTTAACTTCCTTTAAGTGCCTGTGACACTCCATAAAACAAGGTAGATGCTCTCTTGCCATTCAGAGGCTCTTAACCTAATTCAGAAACATCAACCTCAGCCAAACATGGAGGTTTAAACAATTGTACAGTTCTAGCTCTGTGTTAATAGAAGAAAACACTGCAAGAATGAATAGCCACAAAGCAAGAGTTTGTAATCGAATGCTACCACAGGCATAGTTTCATATGGGGTTTCTTTCTGTGTAGTATTAGGAATGTTGGGAAAGAGATAAGGAAAATGACTTTTAATCAATGATTGCTTACAGCGAGGTCAATTCTGACGTTTGTGTGCCCTCTTTATTTTGAAAGATCTCTGTGAAAGAAATTCCACAATTTGCATTGTTAATCTCTCTTCGTGTTTAGTGACATATACACAATTGTTTAAAGTACTCTTTTTTATTTTTATTTTTATTGTTATTTTTATTGCTGTTCAAGTACAGTTTTCTGTCCTTTACCCCTATTCCAGCCCTCCCCTCCTCCCTCCCATCTCCACCCCCACCTTGTTATTGTCCATGTGTCCGTTGTACTACTAGTTTCTGCAAACCCTGCAAATCCTCTTTATTTTTAACTTGGTCTTCTTTGCAGTTAAGCATTTATTGCTGAAGAGGTGTAAGCTTTATGCATTGTCAACTTGAATACACAGTTTACATGAAATTGATGTGAATAAATGAGGTTCAGACTACAAACTGACATGAATCTCTTTTAACTGAGAGTCACCCTAACTACAGCACACAGCCTTTAGTCCTCAGTTAAAATTTATCAGATGCCAGTAGAGTACTGCATGATAGTATTCTATATGCATTTTGCCACATAGAGGGAAAAAAAACTCCAAACAAACAAATAAAACCAACTTCCCTCAAAACCCAGATCAAGCCAAAACAAAACAAAACTACAGTGTTATGTTATTGAAAGTGCTCTGAGATTTGAATTACATTACTATCCATGGGCTATTCATTCTCATTACACTATATATATATCTGTTAGAGTTCCTTCTGATTGACCTGACCTATGAATGGTTTTTTAGGACCGAATCCTTGATATTTTTCCTTCTCTTCTTACTCTATTCTCTCTGTAAGTGACCTGTCATCTAGCCCCTTGACATAAAAATCATCCACGTGAGACAAAGCCACATTTTCTCTTCCTACCTATGAGGTCTCTTCTGCAACCAGGATTTATCTGTGCAATTTCTTACTCAGCATCTCCATTTGATATCTAACATAACTAAGTCAGTATATGCCCATTTCTAAACGTTTGATTCTTCCCACCTCAAACTGGCCGATTCTGACTTCTTTGCCATATCAATGAATGACACCTCCATTTATTCAGTTGCTCAGGCCACCCCTTCCAATGCTCTGCATCCAAATCATCAACAAATCCACTAGCCTTCATGTTCAAAGCCTTCAGAATCTGAACTATTTCTAGCAGTCCCATCAGTGTTCACCCTGGTTCACACTACTGTGAAATCCTCTAACATCCACCAGATCGTCTTAACTTACCTACTTTCATAATTATATACGTAGAGAGTATTATCTCATAGGACTTAGACTGATAGTTTTAAAAATCTGATGTCAACTACTTCCTTTCAATTTTTTTAACATACTTAAAATAAAATCCCAATTCCTTACCACAGCCTGTAGGACAATGCCTTCCTCCATGCCCTCATTTCCTACCATTCTTCCTTCTCCTGACCCACTCTGCCAGCTGATACCTCACTATGTGAAGTGTGGCACATATCAAGGCCTGGAATGTCCTTCTTTCCCCCTCACTAATATTTGTGTGCCTTAATTTACTTCATTCAGATTTCTGGTGAAAATCAGAGACTCAGAGAAACCCTCCCTAGTTTATCCCATCTTTGCTACTCTGTTTACCAATACTGCTTTAGTTTGAAGCACATATCTTCAAAGCACATATCACTCCGCATTTTGTATATACTTAGTATGTATTTCCTGTCTTAACCACCTGAAAACAAGAGGAGGACATGTTTTGGTCATCAAGGACAGTGTCCAGTATATAGCTGTTCAATAAATATTTGTGGTCTCAATCAATGAACATGCCCTAATTGTAACCAATTAGGAAAACAATTGCTTGTAGCCAAGGGAAGAAGTTTCAAAAAGAATGCAAAGACTGGAATCTCCAGTTTGGGGGGTGGGGGGAAAGCAAGGCAACAAGGACTTTGTTATGGGGATACATCCTCAGCCTAAACAGGAGCATACCCATGACAGAAGCCTACTCAAGGCAATCCCACACGGGCTACCTCTCCCTCTGAATCACCTCATTTTTCTGTGTGCTCCCCTTTCCCACTCTGCTCTGTGCTCTGTGCTTTCTTATTGCTGCTAAGTTGTAACCACTTTCTAAGGGTGTGTGTAGGTGGTGTGTGTGTACACACACTGATTTCTGCTGTCTTCTGTCTGTTTCTACAATTGTTCATATCTTTAAATATTTCCATTGAATGCTTTTATAATATATTCCTCTATTTTTAAGTAGGTAAGTGAACTGTTTTAGACCTCTCCTTCTTATTTATTTATTTATTTTTTTCCCAATGTGCGGTTGCTGGGGGTCATGGCCTGCAACCCAGGCATTGTACCCTGACTGGGAATCGAACCTGTGACACTTTGGTTCGCAGCCCGCGCTCAATCCACTGAGCTACTCCAGCCAGGGCTAGACCTCTCCTTCTTAAATAAAATGTGCTTGTAGTCTATAACTGACATTTCTTTCTCATGTGGTTAACCAGTGTGCTTTCATAGACAAATGTTCCCTTATTGCCTGGTATTTTCTTCTGCCTCATATTCAAGGTCAGGAAATCTTATATGTGTGACTTAAATATGTAATAAGGAATAGAATAAGGCTGTCATTCTATAATTTTTCTCCTGGCTCATGTGGTTTTGTGGCTTAGTTAACATCTCAAGTTAAGTAAAATATTGTTATTTTTATTAAAGATACTTATATATTTATAAACAAAACACATATAGCCCAACATTTATTGAGACCAGTGCTGATTCTGGAGACAATATTATATAACTGAGAATCTAACCAACTTCCAATATCAGGAAGCTATTCTAATTTACATTTTTTCCAATCTTAAGACTAATTTTACTTGTTTATTTTTAAAAAATATTTTCTAATTATACTTGGCATACAATATTATATTATTATATTAGTTTCAGGTGTACAATATAGTGATTAGGCAATTTATATTCTTTATGAAGTGATCACTTGGTTATGTCTACTACCCATCTGATACCATACATAGTTATTATATATTATTGATTATATTCCCTGTGCTATACTTTACATCCCATGACTGTTTTTATAAGAGACAATTTGTACTCTTTGATCCCTTTCATCTTTTTAACCCTAATTTACATTGTACATGGGGAAAATGCAACACTTTTAGAGGAAGGTGAAAAAGACATTACAAAGAACCCTAAGCTATGCCTTACCTGAAGCTGCTGTGTGAGAATTATAGAATCCGTAGGAGGGCAGATGTCCAAATATGGGTCTCTCTGGGATGTGCAGTCTGCCTCAGTCTCGCTCTTCTCTTCTTTCAACAGGCGAGAGTGCAGCAAAGCCAACACAGCAGTGCTCACATCCCAGTTTCTTGGGGGGTGGCTGTTGGAAGGTAATATCAAGTTGGCATACAATATTATTTGAATATTATATTATCAAATAGCAACTATTTGAAGCCCATACAATGATCATATTGCTTATACAGCTTGAAAAGGTGGTTACATGCAGTTGCAAAGGGCACTATGATCTCTCCTGAATTGGGAAGGACCGAGTATACTGCTGCCTCTAGAGGAGAACGTGTAGCAAACACATTCTGAGCCGTGGCTATTCTGTCCTGGGCAGCCCATCTTAGAGGGGTGGTGACCCAGAGCACTCTGTGTGAGCACTCACGCCTTCTTCTGAGCTGGCGTGAGCTGAGTAGGGTCTTCTTCACCCCTACACTTTTTAATAAATGTGTCAAGGTTTGCTTCTGACCCTCCTGGATTACCCAACTTTTCCCAGTTGCCTCTACTAGGGATAACAACAAGTAAGTTTTGGCCCGATCTCAGAAAGTATTTCTTTAACTGAGGTCTAAATAGGTCCAACCTCTAGGGGAAAATGGTAAGATGATGAAGCCTGGGTCTAAGTTGAAGAATAAACTGGCTTGAAGCCTTGTAGCAGAATATGAACTATACAAATATAGAGACATGAATAAAAAAAGAGTATGAACTATAAGGAGAAGTATCAGTATAGATTCATAGGAAGGCAGCTGTGTTTTCCCATCAAAGAGATGATATTAGACTTAAAAATGAAAATGTAAGAGCAAAGGGTTCTACACAGCCAAAGGATAGAAAGACAGAGGTTAGCTATTGCAAAGAATTTACAAACCACTTCAAAGGCTCACTCCATCTATTCCCTTCTTTCCATAATTCTACACCTATACCAGTCTTGGGTGTGCTGGGATTTTTGAATTAAAACAACAGTTCCATTAGCACTTGGTTGTAAACTGTTGTCTTACTTGTTTTCTGAATTTGTTCTTTTAATCTCATTTCAGCCAGAGAAAAGCAAATTAAACATTTATTTATTTCTTTTATACTGAGGTTTTTTTAAATTAATGTAAGGTATAGTACTTTCCTTCTTACAAATTTGTCTTGACAGTTATTTTATCATTAAATGTTATTCCACTATACTGTCTTTTAAAATCACAAAAACACAAGCATCATTTAGTGT